AATATATAAGTATATAAATTTATATAATAATTATTTTTTTTATTTTTTGGATCTTTATAAACATATTAAATCTTAATTTTATTTAAATCATATAATAAATAATTTCTTTACTTTTGCTTTTTATACTAATGGTAAATATAAATAATTGTTTAATAATATACATAAATTCCAAAAAAAAAAAAAAAAAAAAAATTATCATTAAATCTAAAATTAAAAAAAGAAAAGAAAGAGAAAAACAAAAGAATTTTTTTTTTTTTCAAAAAAACATCATCACTATTATTGTAAGAAAGCTAATGAATTTAATTAATTATTATTATCGAATTATTTTAAATTGTCATTTTATTAAAAATCTTCCTAATCTTTATTTAATTGCCTTTAATCATCCCCTTAAACATTATTATTTCCATTATTACTATTATTACCATTATTATTATTATTACCATTATTACTATTATTACCATTATTACCATTATTATTATTGTTTTAATTATTTTCCTCATCACTATCTTACATATTATTCCACTTATCAATTTCTGCTCTTCTTTCTTCTGAAGTTTTTTTTTACATAGAATAACTTCCTGACTTAGATTCTTTTTTAGAATGATGTTTTTTCTTTTTTGACCCTCCGTGGTCTTTTTTACTTTTTTTATTACTTCTCGATCTAGAGTATTTTTTTTTCTCTCTTTTATGTTTTTTCTCTTCATCACGAGATTTAGAACTACTCTTACTAGCACTCCTATTTCTATATTCTGGATGTTCTTCATACATTTACCTAAAAAGCGATCTTTTGAAGCTCCTACTAATTTACTTACTATGAATATAATTGCAATATCCACTTCTTTACAAAGTCCGTCTATATATTATTTACATATAGCATTTGAAAATCAGTTACAGGTGAAAACTCGGGAAGTAGCTATACCTTATCATAATATCTATTTTTAAAGAATTCAAACATTTGCTGCAGAACTTTCCTTTATATATTTCACATATACATTTCCTCTCATATGGTCCCCTATATTATCACATATTATAAGATCGTCAATTTCTCCATAATTTGCCAATTCGAGAAATACTTCTTCGTAAAATTCCTCAAATGTATCTAATGCTTTCTTTATTTCTTCTTCGCTTACTCTATTTCCTTAGGCTAATGCTAATTCGGTTGCACTACTAGTATACATATGCTTTATTAATACAGTTTAACTTTCAGAAGGTCTATTGTGTATTCTTAAACACTTGTTTTCGTATCTACATGAACCAATTTTAAAATAAAAAGGACAATTCACTTTGTCTTCTTCAGTACCGTACATTCGGCTTAGCTTTTCGGCCATTTTAATATTTTTTACTTTTTGTTAGCTTCTGTTTTTTTTTTTTTTTTTTGTATCTTTTTTATTTATTTATTTTTATATTTGTTCTTTTTATATATAGGTTTTAAATTATTGTTTTTTTTTTTTTTCTCTTAATTTTTATAATTCATAAATATAATGTTTCTATTTAAAATATATTGTTATTTTATATCTAATAATATTATATTTATATATCAAGTAAATTTTAGAAAATTTTATTTTTTTAAAAAAAAAAAATATTTAAAAAAATTTAAATTTATATAATAAATAAAAAAAAATATTTTAATATAATTATTTATAATAGAAGTTATTTTATTTAAAAAATAATTTTAAAATTAAAAAAAAAAAATTGTAAATAAAAAAAAAATAAGTTAAATTATTTATTTATAATAAATAATAAATATTTTATACATAATTAAATAAAAATATTAATAAATAAAATATTAAATTAAAATACTTAAATTTGTATTTAAAATCTATTTTTTAAAATAAATATAATGATTAAAGATGAAGAAAATCAATAATTATTTGAAGAAAACATTATATAATGTAACATAAAAATCTAAATAAAAATAAAATATACATTTAACAAATAAAACTATTTTAGGTCCTGAAAAAAATCATTAAATATATAATTTTAAAAAAGAATTAAATAATAATTAACAACCATTAATAAGTAAAAATGTAGATGAATAATATAAAAAATTATAAAATTATGTTCAGGTAAAATTAAATATAAACATATATATTTAAAAAAATTAAAAAAAACCAAAAAAAGGATATACATTAATAACTATCATACTTAATAAAATAAAGTGAAGAAGATTTTTTACAAGTCTATAAAGAATAAATGACAAATATATAAAGAGAATTAAAAAATTTAAAAAACAAATAGATGAGGAAAATTTTAAATAAAAAAATGATGAAAAGTTAAATATTTTAATAGAAGAAAAAAATTATTTTAAAAATGAAGCTTTAAGATTAGATAATAATTGCAAAAATAATTAAAAATATATATAGGAATTAGAATATAAAATAAAGGTTTTAACTGAAGAAAAATTTTATTATGAAGGTTTTCTATTTTTTTATTTATTTTAGATTTATAAAATATAATTAATATTTTATATATAAATAACAAAATATAGCTTTTGTTTTAGAAACTAAAAAACAAAATAAAGCTTTAAAAAATGAACTTCTATAAATATATAAATCTAAGAAAAATGAATAATATAGTTTTTAATCAAATTAATAATAATAATAGGAATAGTTAGAATAATAATAATAATAATAATAATAATAATAATAATAATAATAATAATAATAATAATAGCAATTATAAACATAATATTTATCAGTATAACATTAATAAAAATAAATATAAAACAATATTAATAATAACATATTAATTACTTCTAGTTAATCCAGTTTTTTTCCTTATAATTCTAATAAAAATGACAATATCATTAATAATAATTAATAAAATTTATTGTAAATATTTTAAGATTGTATTAATTAAGCTAAAAGATAAATTTCTTTAAAAAAATACGGCGATTTGTTATTTACTGAAAAAGAATTAGACGATTCTGTAAAACTTTATTCTGAAGATAAAGTGTAATTTTATTATTTTTATTAATCTAAAAAAATAAAAATATATAAGTTAAATATTAAAAAAATTTATTTCCTCTGAAGGATTTTTAGATACTATTTAAAAAATAATTACTGATCAAACTAATTTAAAATAAAAAGAAAACTAAAATTTGCCTAAAAAAAACATGAATTATTTTAAAATTAGTACAATTCAGAAAGCCGATTTAAATCTACAAATTTAAAATAATTGGAAAGATATAGCCAAAAATACTAAAAAGTAATATTCTTATTTTAAAAGTTTTAAATATGATCTTGCTTAATCATGTATTTTTTATATTTATTTTATATATAATAAATTTTTATAATATCTTAAAGAATCTAAATAATTTTAAAGTGTGGATAATAAAAGTAAAGCAGGCTTTTTAACAAACTATAATTCTAAAAGTGATTAATTAATAGATTAAATAAAACAGGAATAGATTATTTAAAAAAACAACCTTAAATATAATTTAAAACTTAAACATAGTAAATATAAAGAGGCTTGTAAAGAATTTTCTTAAGGTTTAAAAAATAAGAACTATTTATAATAAATTTGAAATAATTTTTTTTATTTTTTACAATAAAAAAATAAAAACTTATATTATTTGTAAAATATTTAAAAAATTTTTTTAGTTTTCAAATAAAAATAAAAAATAATAATACCAAGATTAATTAATATATAAAATATTGAATATATGCTTTTTTTTATTTTTTAACAAAAACAATATTAATTTAAAATTAACTATTTGAAAATAAAAGAAATAAAACAAAAATTAAATTGAAACTTAATTTATATAAATTAACAATATATTTATTACATTTTATTTATTATTTAAATATTATTAAAACAAGATATATTTATTTATGTTCTTTAATTATAATTAAAATATTTAATCTAAATTACAAAAAGTATTAAATACATTTAAAATATTATTAATGTTTTTTTAAATATTTTAAAAAACATTAATAATAAAGCATTAAGTAGCGATAATAATTGAAACATAAAAAATTATATTATTATTTAAATTTATACTTTTTAGGCCAAATAAATTAAATGTATATTATATTAATTTATTTAAAAAAGAAATTTTAACCTTTAAAAAATAAAATCAAATATTTTGATATGTATAATATTAATTATATATTATTCATTAAATATGTTTCTTTTTTTATTAAATTAATAAAGTATTTCGTATAATAATTAATCTAATTTAAAAATGAATAAATTATATTTTTTTATTTGGGTTTCATATAATCTTTTAATAAAATATATTTAATTCTATTATAGATATATAAAATTAACAAAATTATTTTATTATAAATATAATATTTTTTAAGAAAAAATCAATTTTTATTATAATAATTAAATAAAATATATTAAAACAAAAAAAATATATATAATAGTTGATTTTTTCTTAAAAAACATTTTTAACTAATTTTTTTCTAATTTATTAAAATTATTATATTAATTTTTAAAAAAATAAACACAAAATAAAATTATATTAATATTTACAATTTTTTGAAATAAAAAAACTTCATTTTTCACTTAATTCCCTATATCCTTTCCAATTATCAGGAGATTAATAATTAAAGTTTTTCATATATTTATCTAATGTATTTATTGGACCATCTATCAATTTATCCTTTTAAATATATTCATATTCTTTATTCAATATTAATTAAGCTTCTTCAAATTTAATTTTAGCATCTTTCCAATAACCATCTAAATAATTATTAATTCCTTGATGAAAATAGTTAAAAAATTCCTTTTTTTTTATTTAAAAAAAAAAAAAAAAACACAAAAATTATTAAATATAATAAAAAAAATTACCTATGTATAAGTTTATCTCATAATTAAAAAATCATTATCTTTTAAAAATAAATTATGAACTTGAATTTAATTTTTAATAATTTTTTTAAGCCTAGTTTATTTTTTCATTCTTTGAACATATTTCAATATTTTTTTATTTGGTTCATTCTAATTTTCATTACTTTATTTAATCAATTATTATATTTCAATCAAATTACAATCCATATCGCAAGTATATAAATCCATAGGCTATTCTGATCCTTTTACAGTAACTCTATCAATATGTCTTAAGTATTATTTAGTTTAATTTGATAATAATCTATATACAGCTCCACTAACTAATAATTATATTCCATATTATTTAGTTGCGTTTTCTAATCTACTGGCTAAATTAACATTCGGGCTTAAATAACTTGCATCAATTTTAAAATTTGAACCTATTGCACCCTTTAATTTATTTATTTTTATTAATAAAACTAATAAAATATTATTTTTTTTTAAAAAAAATATTTTTTGTTATTTTACATATAAAATATTAATACTTCTATGGCCCAGCCAAAATGTAATCCGAAACCCAATTTTAAAGAAAAATTTGGATTTGTTTTTTGAATTTTGATAAGAGAATTTTTCTAAAAAATTAATAAAAAAAATTTATAATAAAAGATCATTAAAAATAATTAAAATATTATAAAAAAATAAAAAAATACAAATTTTTTTGTCATAGAAAGCTTATATATATTTGATTAAGATTTAAGAAATCCAATAAGGGCCAAATCAGTATAATTTTAACAATGTGATATATTAAAAATACTAATTTCTTCTTATTTATTAATTTAAATTAGATTATCTTAATCTTTAAGCTTCCAAATAATTAAAAAACAATCCCCAAGATTTTTATTAATAATTCCATGGTAAGAATCACATACAATATGGATAATTTCAGCAATCTAATTAGTAAAAAGCATGATATTTTCTTCTAAAATTTCTGTTATTTAAGGAAAGTTTCTTATAGATACAAATCCAAAAATAGCCAAAATTTTTTTACCAGGTATTAAAGGATTAACATTACCATCTTAAAATAAATATTATAATATATATTTAAAAAAAAAATATATATATATATATATATATATTTTATATTTATATGTTTATATATTATATATTTAAATAATTTTTATATTTATATATTTGTATGTTTTTTTTATTGTTTATTTCTTATCTTATTTAATATAAAAAACTTTAATTCATATTTAAGGCAATAATTTATGATCCAGCTTCTCCAAATCCTACAGCTAGAAGTCCTCCTATTTTTATAATAGTACTTTCCAAAATAGATGTTTCGAATTTTTTTTTATTTTATATTCTCTAAGTTAATCTTAATTTAATTATTTTATAATTTCGCCTTCTGCAACAGCTTCATCTTCTTCTATTCTTGCCGCTTCGAGTGGATTTTCGCTAATCATTTTTATTTTTTGTAGCATTGTTTCGATAGGATCCACTATCATTTCATTTATATCTTTCGTAAAATATATAGAAGCGGAAGCAATAATAATAATAAGAACAACAGTCCGAATAATAGATAATATAGCATTTAAATCCTAATCTAATTTTTTCGAAAATCTAACAATAGACTATAACTATTAAGGGCCATCAATAATTGATATATATTCTATATAATCTTCATCTCTAAGATTTTAATTATCTTAACTCTCATATATTAACTATTTATTAATAACTAAATAAAGCATCTTATTTCTAGGTAAGAAAATATGTTTTTCGACATAATTATTTATTAAAAAATGATATAATTATTAATTAATTTTTTCACTATTAAAATTTAATATAAAAGATAATCCCTATCTATATGATGTATTTTCTTAAAAATAAATATCAATATTAAATAAAGGCAGGGAAATTAAAATCGAAAAAATTAAAATAATAACTCTTTAGGTAATTAAAACAGATAATTATTTTCCTATTTTTGATTACTTTATATATAAAATTATAATATTTTTTTTATTATTATAAAATTGATGTATATTTTATAAAAAATATATATATATAAAAATTAAATATAGTATTTAAATTTTTATTATTTTTTCTAAATATATTATTATTAAAAACAAATAAATAATATTATATTAAGTAAATATATAAGAATAAGTAAAAAATTAAGATTATATTAGATATATTATTTTTATATCTTAATAATTATAATTATTATATTTAATTTTAAAATAATTTATATTTTAAATATTAATTAATCTTTATATATTATATATATTTTATATTTAATTTTTATTATATATATTAAATATTATTAATTTTTATTATAATTATTAAATATATTATAGTATATAATAAAATATTTATATTATAATTTATATGTATAATATAAATTATACAATTATATATGTATATATGTTTTAAGTAATAATATATAATATATATATATATATATATATATATATATATATATATATATATATTTTTATATATATTTATTACTTCATTTGTTTCTTAATTATCTTTTTTATATAAATTTTTTTAAATATCTTCTCTATTTTCATTTTTTTAATTTTTTTTTTTTTTTTCTTGATTATCATTTTCAATTAATGATTATATTGAAAATATATTATCAAATTATTAATATTCTTTTTCTATTAAGTTTTCATTTTCCTTTTAAATATTATTAAATGGCTTATTTTCATATTATATCATTTTATCATATACATATTCTTAAAATATTGATTTTTTTTAATATTTAGCTTATTAAATTAAATTTTCAGAAAGGAATTGTTATATTTATTATTATTATTATTATTATTATTATTATTATTATTTTTATTATTATTATAAATAATTTTTTTATTTAATCGGAGATTCACTCAAAATTCTTCTTTCATTTCTTTTTCTGAATCTTTTAACCTATATTTATCCGTAATTTATGAAAAGAGTGTGTTCATATTAGTTAAACTCTTCTATTATGTTTACTTATTATATTTTTTAATTTTTTAAAATTGAAAATTTGCTATCTTCTTTTTAATTCATTGGATCATTAGTTTAATTTAAAGAAATTTAATTTGATTCCATTTTTTAATTAATGAAAGTTTTTTCTTATTTTTAATTTTCTATATCAATTTCTTGTACTTTTTTTATAATAATTTTATTTTTATTTAATAATTTTTATTTACTAATTATTTATTCATCTTATTCTTTTTAATTTTCTTGATTTTATTCATTTGAATTTTTATGAACTAAAACTACTAAATTTACTTATTCATTAATAACTTCAAACGCATGCTTATATAATTTTCCTAGCCTTATTAATCTAATTAGCCTTAAAAACCTTATTAATTTTGCTGCTTTAGTCGTTATTCTAGAAATACGTCCAGCTCTTTTATTTATTTTTTAAAATATTTACTTTTTTTTGTATAAAGAAATAAAATAAACTTTAAAACATCCACTTATACGCCTTCTAAATTAAAGTTAAATAAATATTCACTAAGCCAAGGAATATCGAATATAATTGAAAATGTAGAAATTATATCCATCCAAAAATTAAAGCTTAAAAAATAATTAGTTTTTAAAATGCAATGAAGAATTAAATCTATTAAAAATAATATAAAAGAGAAAAATGCTGTCATAAAAAATATTTAATCATCTTCCTTATTATTTTATTTATTGAAATAATCTTTATTTATATAATTTTTTTTTTTATTATTATACTTTTTAAAAGCTTAATATTCTAATATCATCACCAAATAATGCATAAATTGTATTTATTGCCATTATTAACTCTACTATAGGATTTTAAATATAACTTACATATTTTTATCTAAATTAATCGAATTTACTATTTTATTATTATTAAGATAAAATTTTCTTCTTTTTTTAATTTTATAAAGATTAACTATTTATTTTTGGATTCACTTTTTCTCCTTTAGTTACGTCTTTTTTCAATTAATTTACTAGTAATTCTTATTTTTACAAACTTTATTAAAAAATGTAATATTATTTAATAGCACATGAATTATTAACAGTTTAAGCTTAAAAAAATATATATTCATTTTTTTTTATTATTTTTAAATACATTAATCATTAGCATGGATATTCTAATTATTAGTAGCTATATTTTCGTTTTCCTATAAGAAATTATTGTGTTTCATATAAATATATTATTTTTTATTAATTTCTTTATTAATAATTAATAAAAAAACAGTTAAATTTATAAAAATTCGTGTTTAGACGAATAGATATTGATTTTATAACTTATTTTATTGAATAATTAAAAGCAAATATATTTTAAATAATAAAATTTAATATAATTAATATAAATTATTTTTTTAAATTGAAAATAATTTAAGAAGCATTTATTATTAAAAGTTATAGAAGATAACATTTTGAAAATTTTTATTTCTTAAAAATAAATAAAAAACGATTGATGTACATAGAAATAAAATACATTTTTTATCTATTTTAGTTAAATAAATGAAATGGTATTAATTAAATTTTTCTATTAATTTTAAAAAAATTAAATATAAATAATAAATATACATATATAATATGTATATAATTAAATTACTCATAAAATATTTATTTTTATTATGTTATTTTTATTATAATTAATTTTAATTTAAAAATCATCAATTATTATAACAATTCATTAAATAAATAATTATAATAAAATATTTAAAAAATTTAGAAATTTTTATTTTTATTATATTATTTTTTAAAACTAAAAGCCGTAAATAAAAACTATTGCTGATAAAATAAATAATATAGAAATTTTTTTATATATAAAACATTTATATTTATTGAAAAAAACTTACAAAAAATAGATGAATACAATATATCAATAATATTAATATATAAGTGTAAAAATAATTTAAAAAAATAAAAATAATACTTTAAAATTAATAATTTAATAAAATAACAAAAATATTAATAAAAAAGCCAAAATATTTTAGTATAAATAAATTAAAAAAATGTTTACATTAACTAAAATAAGAAAATTAATACCGAATATAAAGAAAATACCAAACAATTTTATTTTCTAAAAGAAATATTAATATTCGAACATTTTAAACAATAATATAAATAATTAATTGCTAGAACAAATTAAAAAAAAAAAGTAACACATAAATAAAATTCCAGACTTATAAAAAAATAAATAACAATTAATTGAAGAAGATTAAAAATAATAAATATAAGAAGAAAATGAGTAGACTGATGAAGAATTAGAAAATATAGAAGAAGAATATTTAGATAATTTTACAAATATTGAAGAATTAATAGTAGAAAATAAATATTTTGAAGCCGCATAAAATATATAAAAAATGCTAGATTTAATGCAAGAAGAAAGAGCTTGTTAAGATGTTCTGCCTTTATTAGAATTGCAAAATTCATTATATATATACTCTAGAAATTATTTAGACGCATATTTAGTAAGAAAAAATATATTGTAATATATAGAAACTTTTCCAGAAAATTTTGAGAAAAATGAATTGGAATAATAAATAACAAAATATCATATATAAATGGTTTATACAAATATATTATTAGCAGAAACTGAAAATCAAATTATATTTAAAAATTAATATAAAAGACTATCATTATAATATTAATAAATACTTGATTTATCTATGGCTGTAAAATAATAAAAATATAAATATATATAAATCATTTTTTAATTTATTACTAAGGTTTCATATTTTCTTTCTAATGATTTCGAAGCTTCTTAAAAAGGATTATTTTTTTATAAAATTGTTTAAATAATTTTACTAATTTATAAATAACATCTTATTCATTATATAATTTAGCTGTTCATTAATATAATTTATTATAATTAAAAAAATCTTTTGTTGATTTTATGATTTAAAATGAATAAATGAATGAAGAAACAGTATCCATTATAAATTAAAAACTCTTAAAAATTAAAAATAAAGAATTTATTTCGATAGATGAACTTAAAAATCCTTTAATTAATATTTTTTTAGCTTTAAGCTTGAATTCAAAAAATTTAACTATATATTGTATATAAGATATAATATCTTTTTCTAAATAACTTTTGGGATGTAGTATATTTCCTAATAAGGCTTTAATATTTCTATCTACTTAATATAATTTGTTTAATATACAATATAAATAATCAGTAAGATAATAAAAATATATAAAAATAAATATTTTATCTTATATATTAAAAGTTAAGATTATAGTTAATAAATTTAACTTATTAAATTTCACTT